AGAGAGAGAGCGAGAGAGAGAGAGCGAGAGAGAGAGAGCGAGAGAGAGCGAGAGAGAGCGAGAGAGAGTGAGAGTGAGAGTGAGAGAAAGAAAAAAGAAAGAATGTCACGGTGGTTTCTCGCGAATAGAAAAAATTAGGTGGCGCAATTGTAGCTTCAGATTAAGATTCAGTGCGTTTTCATACGTACAGATGCATGTACAAAATTTTGGGTCTGAAAACGTCTTTATTTTGTGTATTTACTGTTAACAAATAGATACCCGGGATAAGTCACGTGGGAAAATTTGGACTCCTGGCTTGAATATTTATTCAGTTTTGTTTGAGAGTGTTGTAAATCCTCATTATTTTCAATCGCTTTTCAATAATCTTGTATCTGCAAAATCCTTTTCTCATTTCATGATTGCAGGCTATCTGTAAATTCTCAAAATTATTTTCATCTCGCGGGTTTCTCTGAGTTGCAAAGCTGCATAATGCCTCTGTTGGTTGAACTTTTTACAGCAGTTCTTTCGACTACACTAAACACTCCGCCATTGTTACGGTATCTACGAAAGGAAACCTCTCTTCCCAAACCGAAAGAAAATTAACGGGTGTTGATGGTGCCCCACTCATGTTCCCTGAAACATCGGCAAAAGCCCACTGGTTTTCGTTGGCCCACTGGTTGACATACATAGAGAAACATGTGTCAAATTTTTGGATCTTTTTTATTTTACATATTTACAACTTTTTTTACTTTGTGTGCCTGTGTTATTGGTTCGGGACGAACTAAAATTGTTATAACATATAACATTGTATAAAATATCGTATTAGATTGTTAAAACTGTCTTCTTCAAAAATGTTATGATTTAAAAAAATAGAAGTCGAATTACAGAACTGGTTACGATAAATAGAGTCGGATTATGAAATTGTTATGCGTGTGCGATTATGCTTTGGGTTATAAAGTAATCCATGCTCCATTTTTTTAAAGAATTTTTAAATTATATTGAATCATAAACATTTAAATAACAATTACCGTTTAAAAACGTCATTATCGAGCGTACCTTTTTCCTCCACTACCATACCATTATTGGAACATTGCCCGCCGCTGCGTCCGACACTACCTGTGCTCCGCGGCTCGCTTCCGAGCAGAAGAGCAGATTTTTGTGACGTCACAGAGCATTGAGTTGGAAAACCCTGTCCTAAACCATAATTCGTTCGTCTTTTGGAAAGCATGACATCACTCATAGTTGAAATTATTTATTTTCGAGGACAGTGCATTATTGCAATGGACTGTGTTTCATATTTAAGTGAAGTACGTGGTGTTAAGTCTGCACTGATATAATGACTTTGACGCTATCATTATTAGAAATTATTGAGAAATTGTTCTTGGAAAATAAATTCAATTTTACTATGGGCGAAATGGTTGATATTATTGATGGGTATATATCTTTTCCTCCATATGGTGTCAATATATTCAGAGCTGTTAATATAACATCTTTAAGAAATTACCTACCTTAAAGATATGGTTATTTTACAAATGAATAATGTTTTCGAAAATTGTAACTCAATGATTAGGGTAAAATGTTGTCATTTAATATTCATAGGAAATTATGTACACTGTTAGAACTTCTGGATATTTTAGGGCGCGTTAACTACTAAAGTCATTAGTTCCGTAAGTGTTGTGCATGTTTTGCTAATTAATTTCTAATTTCGCAACCTGTCTCCCGGCGTGTGGTAGTATAATGCATGTTTGTGTGTGTGTAAGTATGGGTGAGGATAAGACAAGGGAAGTTCGCGAGCGGTTCTGTTTGTTAGGGTACTGCTGCGACATTCGATTAGTATTGTACGGGGAAACCACGGAAAACTATCGATCAGATCAGGCCGCTAGAATTCGCCTCGAGACACCGCCGACTGAATTCGACCTAGTTGACAAGCTAGTGTCGAAAATCCTGCCACTGTCGGGACTCCAACCTAGGACCTGCCGATCAGAGGGACTGCAGTGACATCAGTGGATGCCCTGAGCTATCTCTTCTTGTCTTTCCAAAGAGAATCCCCTTTCCGTTCCAAGGAATAAACTTTTGTTCTCGGAACTGCCGAATCAGTTGGCACATACTAAGAGAAGCGAGGGCAGCGCCGCCGTTGCTGGTAGTCAGCACAGTTTCAGCGTTTCAAGTCAAGGGCGTTTGCGATTCGGCTTCAAACATTGGGTTTCGTTCAGACAGAGAGTAAAATACATTTCAGGCCATCATCGTCCTTTCGCCGTTTGAAGCATTGAAGCATTGATATGTGCGCGACGGATGTTTGGCCGTTTACACCTGCAGATTTTCTTCGTATGTGTGGGTTGAGAGAGAGAGAGAGAGGGAGAGAGAGGGAGAGAGGGTGAGAGAGAGGAAGGGAGAGGGAGAGAGAGGGAGAGAGAGGGAGAGAGA